TGGTGGGCAATCACTGCCCTGGACGTCCGTCTTCCAGTCATCAAGTGTGGATCTGATAGTATCACATGTTCACAGCTTGGTGCACATATTCAACTGAACATAAGGGGAAATGAAAATGTATCCGGCTCCAACCAGACACTGGCATCAGATCCAAGCTGGTGTTTAGTTTCAGGAGTCACATTTCAGTGCCCTCATTCCCAGCCAATATAGTACAGTCCAAGACTGATATCTCCCATCTTGTTAACTGGAAGTTGTAGAAAAATTAAAATAAAAGCTACTGTTGCAAACCAGACACATTGCAGAGGTTCGTCTTTATTCTTTCTCACAGTGTTTCAGCTTATTTTTTCTTATATGATGCCAAATTTGTTTATTCTTTGAATGTGGATGCTGAGATGTGAACTGTCCATGGTGCTGTCAAAAGGACCATGGACAGTTCCACAACATTTTGATGGAACATACTGGTGTTTTATAAAAGCCATGACAGAGAATAGAATAGATGTTTATTTGTTCATGCATGCATTCATTTTACAAATGACATATTTACTTATAGATTTTTTATAGGAAAAGCAGGAGCAAAAAGAAGATAAATCATACTTACAGTATATACTCCTTGATAAAAAAGATAGTAAAAAATATTTAATTTCTAACCCCCTCTCCACACGCATGCACCAAATGTCTTTTACATGTCTATAATATTAAAATAATTGTTTCATAATTTAAAAATGAAAATAATTTGTTTTCAAATAGTTGTAATTCTAATCTGTTCATATGAAATGTTGTCCTTGTACAACTTGTTAAACGTATAAACATTTGTACGCCACTTATGTTCATCATACAAAGCATTCCACAGTTAAACTCCAAATACAGATGGACACTTTAGTTTCACTGTTAGAACATAGTAAAGACATTTCTTCTTCTTTTGTGATCAGGTTCTGGTTTAACGAGACTAAATACATTTGGAAAATCCTCTGAGTGAACACAATGAGTGCATTTTTTAAATAAACAAGATCCTTAAATTTGAGTTCTCTAGTTTAGGTATAAACATGTTTGGTATGCTCTCTGTAGCCTTTTTTTTTGCTTATAACTGACGTCTTTTTATTGCAGCAGAAATAAAGGCTTAGTGATACTGTGGTATATACATGCAAATGAGAAAAGTAATTGTCATTTATCAACAGTTATTCTGTTACTTTAGTGTCTGACACCTGCTAATTGAGGCAAGACTAAACAAATATTTCCTCCCACAATCAAAGTGCTGAAACAGAGTTCCTAAGTTTAAATGGAGAGGTCTCCTGTCATCCTTCTCTCTGGTGACCTGTAGATCAGTATTTGTTGGTTCTAGGGCAGTTTTTACTCTCACTTTTATACTATATAGAGAGATTTTGGTAAAATTGTTCTTTTTTTTTCTTTCCACCCTATTGAAATAGTACGGTGTATGGTCTTTTAGTGTTTTTATCTGTCTAATGTTTCTCTTGCCATTGACAGGTCATACTCATCATGTGACCACTTACCTACACAAACTAAGCAGCTGTCGTTGTCTATCTACAACACTACAACAGACTGACAAACATTTTACCATTGGCTGGACAAAGGCAGATGCGTTAACATATTTTTTATCACATCAGCAATATACAAATAAAGTTTTTTTTTAGTAACTTTCCTCGTGAGTGCTACAGCCCTTTTTTTTTTATTTAGAAAATTCATTCACATCACCCACATAAACCCCAGAGTCTTATTTTAAGCTCACTTCTAAATTCTATTTTTTTTTTTTTTTATCTGAAGTATATAAACTGGTTTAGGTTTTCATTGTCATTAGATCTAATTTGATTTTACAGGTTTCATTTAATCAAAAAGGCAACAGAATCAAAATCCAAGAACAAACTGCAGGACACCAAAAACCAGGAGACATCAGGGGAAAACACACATGGGGAGCCAAGTAACAACAAGAAACCAGCACTAAAGAACTGCAGAGGGAGAGTATATCTGGGAGACAGAACAAAGAAAAGGAAAGGGAAAGGAGACTGGCACAAGGGGGCAACCAAGAGTAACTCAAGACTGCTTGAATATACCACAAAATGGAAAATAAACCAAAGAACAAAAAAAACAAGAATGACAAAGATAACTCAAAACTCAAAGGCCAAAAGGAGAGAACAATAACAGTGATGTTTCATAGTCTGTAAATAAAGTAAAATAAAAGCAGGGGGACGATTGCTGATGCCATTTTTCAACAAGCCAATATGATAAATATTGTATGCATGATATAGTCAGTAAGCTTGGAACAAGAAGGGGTAATTCTGCTGTGAAGTAAAAAAATCCAGATGAAAGGGACCATGAACATCTAAGATAATACGACAATTAAATGGATTCAGAAAATCAGTCTCCACTTATTAAGAAAATCTTCTGGTTTTTTTATTTTTATTAAAGTAAACTTTCAAATGTGTCCCTGAAAGCATCCACATTTAAGCCTGTAATTAAATCTCTGTAAATGCATGCAGCAGTCACATTCCTGCTATTCTGCATCTCATTTTTGACTACCACGCTTTCCAGGATTCCCTCTACAGCAGGGGTAACCAATTAAAAATCAGTTGAGTCTGAATAAAGAAAATCAACAACCTGTAAAGACATTTTTAATTATAATCCTTTACTTTAAACAGAATTTAACACTGAAATAAAGTCCAGGTGTTTATGCATTCATGTTATATATTGAATTGAAGGTAATCTTCCGGGAACTGGTTTCTGCAGCTCCTAGATTTATGTTAAGAGGAGTTAACTTTAGAATAATTTGAAAAGAGGTTAGTTCTCAGTCTTCTCACTTCTCCTGTTAGGTTAGGTAAAAAAAAAAAAAAAAAAAAAAAAAAACCTATCATACTCTATAGATAAAAGATGATGGCATGAATGCGGTTATGGTCTTTGCTGTCATAATGCATAAAACACTTTAATAAACCTAATTAAGTGATTTACTTCCAAAACAAGTTTGGATAATCAGTTTTCGATCACATTCATCTATTTCTGTTAAAAATAGTTTAAATTAAATTCAGAATTAAATTAAATTCAGTTCAATTCATTCATATAGCGCCAATTCACAGCGCATATCTAAATTGAAGATGCCCCTCCTGGATGAGCTTGCAGAGACAATCTTTGCTTGCATTTTAACATTGACTCTTTAGCAGTCCCTTAGACTGAACATGCATGTAGCGACAGTGGAGAGGAAAACTCCCTTTTAACAGGAAGACACCTCCTGCAGAACCAGGCTCAGTGTGAGTGGCCTTCTGCCAATGTCGCCTGAGGTTCAAGGAGATAAAAACAGATATATAAAAAAAAAAGCCAAGATACAAGAGGTAACTGTTAACCATCTCCATAGGTGGCCCCGCCCAGGAGAGACAGTTTTTCTGACAGTAGGCTGACAGGAAAGGGGGTATGAGAGAAGGGGAAAGACATGCGACAAAGGAAAACAGGTAAGATTTGAACCCAGGTCAGCCACTTCGAGGACTAAGGCCTCCATACATGGGTCATGCACACTAACCACTGCCCCACCTGCATGCCCTTTCAGGTGATATTTTAGTGTTTGTAACTTCGACACCATAAAAGAAGCAAAACACCCCATTCAAATCTATCCTCTTTAGATAATCAAAACCTCAAAAACTGCCCAAACACCTACAATCGATGCAGCTCCCTCTCTCTGCCTCTCTGGACATGACACAGACTTCGGACCAAAGCACCAGAGCTTGTCTCATTTGTTAGTCTCACAAAACCCCTATTCTGCATTTTGCTTTTTAATTGGGATTCTCAGGAGACCTTGTCCAAAGCCTTCACAACATGCCCAAGTACTATGAAGAAGCCTATAAGCTTAAGTTCAGGAACCAATTACCCCGCTCCGCCTTGGCAGAGCCGCCACTGTACAGATTACTATTCATGCTGCTGTTTTACAAATGCAGCACAGCCTGCAATGATTTTTATTCTGAAGTTGTGCACATTGAAGCTGATTGATAACCCCTAACAACATTTAGATCTGGTAAAATGTAACCTAATCAGAAGGCTGCCTCGTAAAGTTAACAGTGTAAAATTTCCATAAATGTAGAACAGTATCCCTCTTAAATACCAAAGATAATCTAAGTAAATATATAACAAATGTATAACAAAGATGATTTTCTTAACATAATAAATACTTGTTAATCAGGTGCTAGTGGAATTAATAGGAGCTTGCAAATGACCATGCAGTGAACCCAGAAAAGGCACTCCTTATATCAGCTTCTTTTCATTCAGTTTCAACAGTTAAACCCCATTCAAGAATATGGACTCCGGCTAATTTTCTATGTGTAAACAGCTACTTCCTTCCATCATCTTTTCACTATTAGGGACCCAGCTGGCAGCAAGGCCCCAGCTGACCATTTCTTCTTGTTAATGGACTGCAGGCTTCCTTAAAGCGGTTCTTCAGAAACTCCTGATGTTTCTTTCATGCCAGTGAAAGACTGAAAGCACAAACTGTGAACTTGAACTTTAAAGCTTACAGCTCTGGAGAATGTTATTCATATTCATATTAATTTTAATTTCATATTTTAAAGAAATAAAGGGAGAATAAAAACTACTTCCAATAGCACAGAGGAAGGAGAAAGCATGGGTGTTAGTATGAATGTGTGTAGCTCCAAGGTTAAACACTGATTCCTTTGGCTTCTACAAAATATTTGAAAAAGAGAATTCTCTGGAAAATCAAACCCATGACAGCTGCAAACAGCAATGTCCCCATATTTATTTTAAAGCTATTCAGATGTATTATACAAGCTGGAATTTGAGCCCCAAGAGCGGTTCAAATCTATCTATCTATCTATCTATCTATCTATCTATCTATCTATCTATCTATCTATCTATCTATCTATCTATCTATCTATCTATCTATCTATCTATCTATCTATCTATCTATCTGACACAGAAGCCTGCTGCTCTGACTCTCTAGCCACACGTGGTAAAGAGAGCGAGAGAAAAGCACTGCCTTGCATTTTTTCACTTACTAGAAATTATATGTAGCCTCCGCATTTTTCTACACCTCTGCATAGTACTCCGCTGGTATCCCACAGAGATACAACCCAGGCTCTGGTTTGACTGGCAGCTCATGCAGCTCAGCTAAATATACGCAATTCACCTTAGTTAGTGTTTCAGGAGAGTTTGAGAGATTGGGTTGGTCAATGCAGGGAATGAAAATATAAGTAGAGCATCTTGTCTGCAGCCGCCTCTTTTCTCCATCTGCCTCAAAACTCTTCTACTCTAGCCCATTTTGAAACTGCGTTGATAATGACAGCGTTTGACTTCACGGATGTAGAAGCGTTCTTGGACAGCCACCCGGATCTGTTCGAGGAGTATCTGGTTCGGAGAGCCAAATGCGACCAGGTGAGCAGGTGGCTGAAGGAGCACCAGACCTCCAAAGTGTCCACAGCCGAGGAGAATCGCACCGCCATCACGGACCCGCTGTGGCCGAGCAGCGCAGACGGACTCCAGCGCAGGTCGTCTCACATGGAGCTGCGGCGGAACTTCGCCCGCTCCAAAGCCACAACCGCGCACCGCACGTACGACGAGCATGTGAGCCTGAGCGAACACGAGTCCCAGTCCAGCATGAGGCGCCGTGCGCTCCTGCGCAAAGCCAGCTCTCTGCCTCCGACCACCGCGCACATCCTTAGCGCGCTGCTGGAGTCCAGAGTCAACGTGCCCCAATACGCGTCCAGCGCCATCGACTACAAATATAGACTCAAAGAAACTAACGAAAGGGAGTTTTTCCTGGAACTGGTAAAGGACATTTCTAACGAACTGGACCTGACAAACCTAAGCTATAAGATCCTCATCAACGTGTGCATCCTGGTGGATGCGGACAGGTGCTCGCTTTTCCTCGTTGAGGGACCCGCTCACAAGAGGACGCTGGTGTCCAAGTTCTTTGATGTACACTCAGGCACCACAGTCAGACCGTCATCCAGCACTTTGAATTCCAATGAAGTTCAGGTACCATGGGGGAAAGGGATTATTGGATATGTGGCAGAGCACGGAGAGACCGTCAACATCTCCAGTGCGTATGAGGTAAACAACAACAGTTCATTTAGAAGTTTTAAAAGAACGACTGAGGGAGAGATATTGATAAAAGGGCACAATGGCATATTAGTTAAATGACAATTATAATCACAGTCCATCTTACAAAAGTGTTATAGTGCTTAAAATTCCTCATCAGGAAGCAAGTATTTGATTTCCTTTTAATATAGAAATACAGAAATAAAATATTTTTTTCTATTGGGGTGCAAATAACTGAGCTGAAATTTATATTTTGTTTCATAATAAAAGAAAATTAAGGCAAAAAATGTGAAAAAAGACCCCCACACCTCAGTTTGGAAGTAAAAATCACCGTGACCTCCCCTTACATGTAAAAACACGTAAAAAACACAATTAGAGGTACCTCTTTATTGTTTTCTGTGATAAACCAACACCAACCTCTATTCTTTCCAACTATTTTGAATAGAAGAACTGATGGAAATGTAAGTCATACTGTATGCAGGTACACAGCAAATCCAACATGCTCAAATCAACACTGTCAGATTTGATTTTAACACCCTTAAAGTGTGTATATGGGTCCAAACCAGCGAGTGTTAATCTGACCCTTTTTGGAGAGTTGCCATTGTAACTCTTATTAGAGTTAAATAATAAATCTTTCTGGAGTTTATAATTTAACACTGAATTACACCAACTAGGTGTTAGAATTGGAATATTAACACTCTCAAGGAATGTTTTCCTAGAAACTTTAAAAAGCTTTCCGCTGTAATAACATTTTGAATGTGGCTTCAACTGTATACAAACACAGCACATATTGCAAACACATATCACTTATTTAGATTGTTATTCAATAAACAATGAAATAAATAAATACTTTTCTCCCTTCATACATTTATTTTATTGGAATAGCACAAAATGGTTTCTTTAAAGGGCTTGAATTTTGAAAGGCTTCTAAAGCTCTAAAGGGATGAAAATTCACTAATTTAATTGTATCAGCTTCTCACCAGCCAGATTTCAAATTGTGTGCAGCATCATTATCTCATGGCCCTGGGCTGCTGAGGCATGTGTATCCCCTTGCAGAATATTCCTGCATTCACCAAGATATGTCCAAACAAATATGTAAATGTTAAAAAAAACATATGATTTTGGCTGTGCAATGAATATAAAAAGCCAAGAATCACATGTTGCGCAAAGAATATTTCAATTTAAGGGAGTGAGTAAAACCAAAACTAAAAACAAAAGGATCACCTGCACTTATGTTTTTTTTTTTTAATTTGTGGCTTTGTTATAGCTGTTATATGTGTACAATGTCCACATTTTCAGGACCACCGCTTCAGTGATGAGATAGACAAGTTGACCGGCTACAAGACTCAGACCATCCTCTGCATGGCTATCTGCAACAGTGATGGCGAAGTCATTGGTGTTGTACAGGCAATTAACAAGAATCCAATGGGCACACCTTTTACAGAAGACGATGAGAAGGTGAAGCTACACTGTGCCGTGCAAAAATGCAGAGGCAATTCATCATTTAGAATGTCTCTTTTGTGGTTTGTGCTACTCAGTGCATTTTAAAGAAAGTGAATGTGCAACAGAAGCGTTTGTGGTCTAAATAGTCTAAATGGCTGCAGGGAGGAGAAAATTGCTCCCTTGGATGCAGAATACTAGAATAGATAAGCTAAAAGGTTACCCTTTAACTCAAAAGTAAACACTAAATGTGTCTCGCTGTGTAATTTACTTACCCATTCAGGAAATATAGCTTCTGTTTATTATTCCGGATTGTTCCCTTAGCAATTAACATTAAATTGGTCAGTACAGTGTGAATGTATTTTACCTTCATTTGTGGTTTTACAGCTTTCAGATGGGTTTTATTGTTCTCCTACCACATTGCAACTTTCATTTAGCTTGAATTTTTACCCTATTATTTCTGCTGAAGCCTTAATTTGGTTTTCTTTGAGAAAAAACAGCAAAATAAAAATGGAGGAGAAAATAGATAAAGACATGTTGAATTATTTGAAGTTGCTTAAAGCTACAGTGTGTAATAATTACAGGCATATAAATTCAGAAATTTAATATATTATACATAACTATGTTATTTATCATCACCTATGAGCTCAGCCTTTTAACCATAACATTTGCGTTGCCTTAGAATTCGTTATTTATAATTACATAGGAGCGGGTCTCGCAGCCATGGAGGCTGACATCTTTGCGCTACGGCAGCGCAGAGGCAACAAACTAGCGATTGCGAGATCTCCCATGACGCTCGAAAATAACTACGGCAAGTTGAGAGAGATGAACTGAGACGGTACTGAACAGTAGATGGCAGTATTATGCCTGAGAAGCGTTTAGTCTGCCTGAAACCAAAGAAGAAGAAGAAGCAGGTATACTGCGCCTCGGTAACAAGAAAGGTAAACAAGGCGGCAGGCGTGAGTGACTTTGCAAACTGTTTGGCACTGTGTGGCCAAACATCAGACGAATGGAGGATCATGCCTACTCTGTATCACAACGAAAAGCGGCGGACACCGAACCCCCGTCATCTAAGAAGCGGAAACACGACGAGAATAAACGCAAGAGTGACAAGAAACGACAAAAAACACGGATCAACATTGGCACGGCATTTACACGATGGAAGTCACTGATGGAGGAAAAAGGTTTTCAAAGTGACGCTCAAGTTGCCAGTTTTCTCTTGGACAGGTAATTAATCCTACACACACAATTGTCTAATATCACTGCAGTTTTTGGAGTACAGGATGCTCAGACCTGTCTAAAACAATAACATGCTGCGTGATGATGCTGTTACTCTCCAGTATACTTATTCAGCAACGTCCCTGACGTTTCACAGGTAATGATTCAGTAATTTTCTGTAAAATAATTTTCTGGATATATACCTCGGTTACTTCTCTCCGGCTCCTTTGGAGATCTTCAAGCCTTTCCTCCTCTGCTCTCACCCCGCTGGCTCCCCTCTCTCGCCTGGCCCCAGCTGCACGCTCACCCCGGCCTCTCTGCCCTCTTCCTTTCCCTCTTCCTTGCCTTGTAACCCCCGTGCCACAAACAAGACTTGGACTCTGTAAACGGGGAATATATATTCTTCCAGCGAACACAATCTCGCTGTTAAACTAATGACTACAATTACTTCGTCTGTTTATATCACCATGCAAAGCAGCTCACCAAAACGTCACAACGACGTAGAAAAAATAACGGGTATATTTATTATCTTAAGTCTACATGAAATCTATACCCTACACAGACTAATGAAATACTATCTGTAAAATTATCTATGTAAACAAACCTCATCACTTGAGAAGGTAGGTGATGCGGACGTCGTGGAAGACATTTTGTCCCGTAACGCTCGCCGTACTGTTGGGGGGGAGAAGCGGTGGGGGGGAGACGTTCATGTTGCTGCAGTCTGCAGTCTGACCGCTAGATGTCGCTGAAAATTACACACTGTAGCTTTAAATAAACTGTATCTAACAACAGTAAAGTGTCCACTAGGTGGCAGAATAAAGTTCCAACAAATGTATCTACTTAAGCCTTAGATAAATACTTTTATACTTTTTTTGTGGGTCTTTATAAAAATAGGTTTCTGATAGTGCATGTGAGACATTACCAAGATGACATAACTTTCAGTGACAAAAATAGAGTAATAGATTTTTGGATATTAACACATTTTACTGCTAAAGACTATAAATCAATACTTCATTAACAGTGAATCTATTTGTGCTGAGATGAAGCTGACTCCAGCCCAACTGTCCATTGACACCACCACACCCTGTCTGCTTTTCTCAACCAATTTTAAGCACTTTAAGTCATCACTCAAATGAGGTGTCAGTTATTTCCCTGCTTTCTGTTCTCTTTCTTTTATAGGTGTTGCAGATGTATCTGCCATTCTGTGGGATTTCAATTTTTAATGCAAAGCTGTTTTCAGAGTCTCGCAAGGAGTATGAACGGAGCAGGGTGAGGAATATTAAGGAAATGCATTTTCAGAGCCTGCACAATCTTTGTATGGGCGGTAAGAAGGTTTGCTTTTACAACAGGCTTTGTTGGAGGTGGTCAACGACCTGTTTGAGGAACAGACCGACCTAGAGAAGATTGTTAGGAAGATCATGCAGAGAGCGCTGACTTTGTTGCAATGTGAACGCTGCTCAGTGCTACTCCTAGAAGACATCGACTCACCTGTGAGACTTACATTTTGCTGATATTACTTATGTGTCCTGGATTCTCTTCTAATTGTGTTACTTGGTAAATATGCACTGGTTGTACTGATACATACCTTCTCTATAGGTGGTCAAGTTCTCCAAGACGTTTGAGCTGATGTCTCCTTTGTGCAATATGGACAGAGACATCAGGTGAGGGAGCATTAATGCATTTGAGTGCAGCCAATTTAAGTCTAACAAAAAACATCTAGACGCCTTGAATATTTTCAAATTATTTCACTTGCCTGTAGCCCTGTTTACTTCGGCACCTCTGATGCAACCAATATGTTCAGAAGTCACCTAATTAGTAAAAAGAGTCCACATTTAGGTCTTTTAATCTTAGTACAAATCAGGCTTAGAGATCCATAAGAGAATATTGTTAAACATACAGACCAGGGAGAAAGCAGTAGAGAAGTCTAAAGTGGTTACTTATTAAAGCAGTACCTAGGCTTTACAGAAAGCTGTTTAAGAACTCTATATTGGTTGATACCTTAGGTGTAAGTGTGCGTGCATGGGTAGACTGTCCAACCATGCAATGATTAGAGCAGGGATGTCACAATCCAGTCTTCAGGGGTCAGTGTCCTGCACCTTTTATGTAGATACATCTCTGCTTTTACAAACCTGAATGAAATATGCAGTTCGTTTGCAGGAATCCAACTGAGGAGGTAACCAAGCCCATTCATTCAGATGTGTTGGACTTTAGCAATGTCTAAAAGTTGGTTGGATACCGGTCCTTGAATACATAAGTTTGACATTCCCTGCATTAGAGGATATAGACAAAGGAAGGATGGACAAATGTTCAATCCATCACCTGGACAATTAGGTGGGACCTCTAAGGTACTAGGATGGGCAAAGAAAACATTGATCAAAGAGGCTTCCAAGAAGCTTAGGGTAATTCTAGTGTATTAATTATACACTCAAATTGGGGCAAAAAGAAAGTCATTGTTGCAGCTCCGTTTGCCACAGGCCATGTAGGGGTCACTGCTATGTCCAAAAGAAATCAGCAATTTTTGTCCCGGGATGTGCTTTGGTGGCGCAGTGGTTAGCACTGCATGAAAAGTGGGATTTTCGTCAATATACGGCACTGTAGATTGTCGTGGAACTTCAGGTTAGCGGCAGTTTACGGCAATTTGCAGGCCTTGCCGTAAACTCCCGTAAATTGTCAGAAATTGACGTGGAATTTCTTAGGCAGTGTTCCCCCCATGCCTCCCCCCCATGGAATTCTAGGGGAGGCTTTAACATGTAAATGAACATGCTGTGAGCCCCCTGCAACCCTGGGTAAGAAAATCTCTGATACAAAGAGATCAGGTATAGCCTCTTACATTTTAGCTTGAATTGATTTATTTAATTAAAGTATAGAGACCAAAACAGATCTTTAGCTGACAGAGCAATACATTTAGAGCAGTAATTATTTTTTTTTAAATTTGCATTTAAGATAAAAAATAAAATGTTGTCTGTCAATATGCTCAATTCACAATTACTTAAGTGGAAAAGTTTCAAGAAATGATTCTGAGATGATTCACTTTATAACATGGCGCATTATCCTGTTGGAAGTAGCCATCAGAAGATTGGTACACTGTGGTCATAAGGTCATAGGTCAGCATGCTAAATTGGTTTTAAGTGGCCCAAAGTGTGGCAATAAATATCCTCCAAATAGATGGTAGAAATAGATCAGGCCCAGTATAGCCTAATTATAGACTCTTACATTTTAGCTTGAATTGATTTATTTAATTAAAGTACGCTAGATTACTGTGTATGCAAATGTTATGTAAAAGAAAATACACAAAATAATTTACTTCAAAAATTAGTTTTAATCAGAATCAGTTGGCTGTAATGGTTAATTTTTTTTTTTAGATTTCCACTTTTTTTTTTTTTTTGTTATTGAATATATAAGAAAACAATAACAATCTCAAACAACAAGTCAATAACAAATATTTCAATACAAGAAGAAATATCACAACTCCTGCTTTTGAAAAATAAAATTAAATGCACAGGCTGGAACAAAGTATAAAATAAAATAAATAAAAATAATAATAGGGTTTAAAGTAAATTAATCAGTGGGGACTACCAACTGAAATTCTTCAATTAACTCAAACAATTTAATTGCATTTAAATTCTGCATCTTTTTCAGACATCTTTTGAAAAGGGAAAGTTCATTTTTGAGAGCAGAGATTGAGAGGGAGCATTTTGCATAGCGACATTTATGGATATAATACTTTGTTACAATTATTAGAATATTGATTAAAAATTCCAAATTTTTTTTCTTTAATGGATAAACCGAATTGAATGTTTTGCCAGGAAATAAAATCTAAATTTATTGTTTTAGAAGACAGAAAGGTTCGAAGTTGATCCCATAAGTTTAATACTTCTTTACATTCATAAAAAAGATGTTTAGTTGTTTCCAATTGAGTTGTACAAAAGCCACAATTCTCAACATTAAACTTAAATCTCTCTCTTAAAAACTCATTTGAAGGATATATGTTATTTATTATTTTATATTGTAATTCTTTATATTTAGGAGGAATTGGGAATTTCAAATAATTTGTCCTAATTTTGACTATCATAGATTTCTTAAAATTTTGTTAGAGAGCTGTGCTTTTTGTTCTTCCTGGGTACATATTATTTATAGAATATTGATTCAAAAACTTGTTGTTGCATTTATTATCTCTAATGTCCACCTGCTCAAATTCAATCTTATGGAGACAAACAATTGCAATTGCAAACAATTTATAGGTGCATTACCGCCACCTTCCAGAATGGAGCAACGCGAGCTCTTCTCGCGAGTCCTTCCGTATAACAATGACGTCGTATGTGATTGGAGGAGCCTGATGAGCCTTCGGCCCCATCGTCCAATCACGTGTGAGCTTTTGTGCACTACGACTTCTCGCGAGACCAGCATATTAGCAGACATGTTTGTGTTACTACATTTAGAAGAACTTCATCTCCATTTACCGTGTTTGTATTTTGTTGTTACGTGAACAATGGCTGCACGACGTCTCGCGTTCAACTCGCCTCCAACTGCTCTTAGTCCACAACTTTCGGCCAGCCCGCAGACTGACGAGAAGAAACTGCTGATTGCTATCAGCGGACTGTCTCGTCAGCTTGCCCAACATACTGCCGACATGAATGAACGCCTCACTCAGCTGGAGAATTCGATGCGCTCCAGGTTGTAGTCCATAGAGGACAAGATGGCGGCTCTGCAGTCGAGCAACTTTGCAGGATATACGAACTCGAGGAAGAGAAGACGGGTGAACAACGCCACGCTAGCGGTAAATATATGTTCGATTACTGGTAGCTATGCTAAAAGCAGCCTAGCTTAGCTAGGCAAGCTAAAGACAACCTAGCCTAGCTAGGTAAGCTAAAAGCAGCCTAGCCTAAAGCTTTATTAAAGTGTATTTTTTGTGATTACAGGAAGCAGTATGCCGTCTTAACAACTCGGAAACTAATTGCAGGCGCTATGAACCGGAGCAGGGGTAAGGTTTAAAGAATATGCGGTAAAAGGACATGGATACGGATGGATACCGACCATAGCTGTACTTTTTTTTTTTTTTTCACAGACTACAGTCGCCTCACAATGAGGCGGTGACCTCCTATTTGCTCGGATTTGCATGATGTTGATAAAGACGACATTGTGTGTAAGTGACTTGTTTTAATGTTTTCTCCTTCCTTGTTACTGTGACTTGCGTTTGATTTTTTTTTTTTTTATTCATACCACTCTCATTTAATTGTTTTCCAGCTGCCTGTAAGACGTATTATGAGACGGTATGCAGGAGCTTCAGATACACGCTGCTAGCCAGCACGCTGCGTGCGGAGGCCGCCAGGCTATCTGCTCGGAGTCGGGCCAGAAGAAAGAGAGTAAGACTTTATTTGGTGACTATTTTTCAGGTGCATTGATAGATGTGTTGTGTCCATAGGCAGTGCGCTGATTCATTGTTTTTTTTTCAGCTGCTGAAGGCGAGGCAGAGTGTGCTATCAGATGAGGAAGTGGAACTCTGTAAGTCCGCCACCGTCGACCTCATGTCCGACGAAGAAGATGGCGTCGTCGGCGGTGTCTCCGGATGGATTGTACGGTCGCCGCCATTTCGTAGGCCGGATCTCACTGAACTCTGTGTTAAGCTGCAGTCCCGGTTAGAAGCGATGCCGAAGTACAGGGCCACGCACAGTAGGCGTCTGCACATCGGACCTGCCTCGGAGGGAATGCTGCCTGTTACCTCCAACCCAGAGGAAGCAAACGGACCGTTCACGGAGTTGTAATTTTTAGATACGCATGTGTTTGGATACGCGTTGTATATAGTTGGGTGTGTTTTAATAAAGCTCTTTCTTTGCATAAACAGCTTCCTGGCAAATCTTCATTTCCTGTATAAATTCATTCATGTCCTTGATGGTAGCATAATAATTGTGTAGTAGTGTAGGATAACATAAATACACAGCATATGAATGAATAAATATATGAATGAATAAATATATGAATATATATATATGTAAATATATATATATATGCCAACCAATCACGAGCGACTTTACTTGTTTAAAAGGAAGCGGTTCCGTCCAATACTCAGTAAGAAAATTAAAGCCTGGCGTGGCCACGTGTGGTTTTGCTGCCAATCACGAGCGATTTCATTTGTTTGAGAATAGTGGTTTCAGCCAATACTGAGTAGGTTATTCAAGCCAGACCTGGCCAGCCGCGCGGGTTTGCTGCATTCATATGCTAATTAGGGCCATTAGTACAGCTGATCGCTCTCCAGATACGTCAGAGTCCGTTTCCGAGAATTTGTGGCACGACAAACGCGGACAAGCACGGGTTGCAAATTGTCGGAAACTGACGAAAATCAGGCAGATCTGCGGGAGTTTACGGGGGTTTACGGGGACGAAAATCTCACTTTTCATGCAGTGTAGCGCACATGACCCATGTATGGAGGCCTTAGTCCTCGACGCAAGAGACCCGGGTTCTAATCCGGCCTGTGGCCCTGTCAGCCTACTGTCCATTAAAATGAGCAGCTAGTGCTGTAAAAACTGAATTAAAATAAAAAAAAAAAAATAATTTCATCCCACTTAGAGAGCAAACATAGCTGTGGCAGACAACTACCAGAATACACCATCCCCTCATATAGTAATGGAAGGGATGTTTTGCCATCAGCAGGGTGAGGAAATCTTAGCACAGTTGGTAATGAGACTGTTAAACTAGATACATAATTAGTCAGAAGAACAAAAACTGTTAGAGGCGCCAAAAGTCAGAGATTGAGACAGAAGTTCACTTTACGAAACAACAATAAACCCTCATTCTACAACAAGAGGTTAGTCAAAACATGTGCACAAGCAGAATTACAGAGTCAAAACCCCGACTTCAAAGAAATGGATAATTCAAAAAGTCGCAGCTGCATTTGTAAGGCAAGTATTACCTCAAGCTTTTTATTTTGATGGTTTTAAAAATCTATTTTAGTTTTACCTAATTTTTCAAAAGTATGCTCCATAATATATATATATATATTTTTTACAACAAAAATGAAATTGTGATGTTACAGAAGGTGGGAAACATAAAAGGAATATATAACAATACATTCTTTTGTCTCTTAAATGATCCAATCAGCATGGAGAAGTTATCCTGTTCTGACTGGCTGATCAACAACAGCATCGCTGAGCTGGTGGCCTCCACAGGGCTGCCTGTCAACATCAGTGATGTTTGTCAGGATCCACGCTTTGATGCTGAGGTTTGGACAGAGTTCTTTCTTTTTTAAATCAATTTTTAAAAATTCTTGTAATCCTGTTTTCTATATCTACAGGCAGACAGCCAGGCCTCGGGTTTTCACATCAGATCCGTGTTATGTGTCCCGATCTGGAATAGAACCCACCAGATAATCGGTATGTTGGACCACACTTATCTGTTTTTAAACCACCTCTTTTTGCTTTTCTGAAGTATCTATGCGTGTTTTGCTAAGGAGTCGCACAGATTCTGAATCGCCTGGACAGGAAGACGTTTGATGATGCAGATCAGAGACTGTTTGAGGTCAATCTATGGAAAGCTGTACAATAAATCTTTGATTTCATTGTTAATTATCACGTACAATTAATAGTTACTTTCTTTTGCTTTTTTTCCCCAGGCATTTGTGATATTTTGTGGACTTGGAATCAATAATACTATGATGTACAACCAGGTTAAGAAGACATGGGCCAAGCAGTCTGTAGCTCTGGATGTAAGTATATTTATTAATCCAGTCATTCTTTTTTTCAAAACCACAATCACAGCTCTTTGAAGTGTTATTTTCAACCTTACACATTTTTTGTTTTGTTTTTGTCCCTGTCCAATGTGAATTAACCATAACAATAAACTGGGTTTAACAAACAAATGCAGCTTTGAAATTATGATTTCATTTCCTAAAGGAAATTGCAATCCAATATGCTAGTAAAACATTAACTGGCCCAATATCTGTTTTAATTGAGCTCAATGTGAGCTGTATTTTAGGTTGTGTCATACCATTCCAGTGTCGATGTTGACTGCTGCATTGATCAGGATCATTTTTTTGCAGAATAGCAGAGTTCCCTTAGGCTTAAAGCTACAGTGTGTAATAATTACAGGCATATAAATTCAGAAATTTAATATATTATACATAACTATGTTATTTATCATCACCTATGAGCTCAGCCTTTTAACCATAACATTTGCGTTGCCTTAGAATTCGTTATTTATAATTACATAGGAGCGGGTCTCGCAGCCATGGAGGCTGACATCTTTGCGCTACGGCAGCGCAGAGGCAACAAACTAGCGATTGCGAGATCTCCCATGACGCTCGAAAATAACTACGGCAAGTTGAGAGAGATGAACTGAGACGGTACTGAACAGTAGATGGCAGTATTATGCCTGAGAAGCGTTTAGTCTGCCTGAAACCAAAGAAGAAGAAGAAGCAGGTATACTGCGCCTCGGTAACAAGAAAGGTAAACAAGGCGGCAGGCGTGAGTGACTTTGCAAACTGTTTGGCACTGTGTGGCCAAACATCAGACGAATGGAGGATCATGCCTACTCTGTATCACAACGAAAAGCGGCGGACACCGAACCCCCGTCATCTAAGAAGCGGAAACACGACGAGAATAAACGCAAGAGTGACAAGAAACGACAAAAAACACGGATCAACATTGGCATGGCATTTACACGATGGAAGTCACTGATGGAGGAAAAAGGTTTTCAAAGTGACGCTCAAGTTGCCAGTTTTCTCTTGGACAGGTAATTAATCCTATACACACAATTGTCTAATATCACTGCAGTTTTTGGAGTACAGGATGCTCAGACCTGTCTAAAACAATAACATGCTGCGTGATGATGCTGTTACTCTCCAGTATACTTATTCAGCAACGTCCCTGACGTTTCACAGGTAATGATTCAGTAATTTTCTGTAAAATAATTTTCTGGATATATACCTCGGTTACTTCTCTCCGGCTCCTTTGGAGATCTTCAAGCCTTTCCTCCTCTGCTCTCACCCCGCTGGCTCCCCTCTCTCGCCTGGCCCCAGCTGCACGCTCACCCCGGCCTCTCTGCCCTCTTCCTTTCCCTCTTCCTTGCCTTGTAACCCCCGTGCCACAAACAAGACTTGGACTCTGTAAACGGGGAATATATATTCTTCCAGCGAACACAATCTCGCTGTTAAACTAATGACTACAATTACTTCGTCTGTTTATATCACCATGCAAAGCAGCTCACCAAAACGTCACAACGACGTAGAAAAAATAACGGGTATATTTATTATCTTAAGTCTACATGAAATCTATACCCTACACAGACTAATGAAATACTATCTGTAAAATTATCTATGTAAACAAACCTCATCACTTGAGAAGGTAGGTGATGCGGACGTCGTGGAAGACATTTTGTCCCGTAACGCTCGCCGTACTGTTGGGGGGGAGAAGCGGTGGGGGGGAGACGTTCATGTTGCTGCAGTCTGCAGTCTGACCGCTAGATGTCGCTGAAAATTACACACTGTAGCTTTAAGGTGAAGATTGTTGCTACAATTTGGATTCATGATGTCATAAATCATGGCAATCAATCCAGGTTCTGGAGCAACACAACACCCCATACCCAGTACCACCATGCCTTATTCTCTGTGTGTCGTCCTTTTTTTTAATTGCTGTGCAAGTGGTAAACCAGATGTTGATGTTGGTAACACAGCTTCAAAATATTTCCTCTTTTGTCTGATCAATGCATAGAGTATTATCCAATGAGGCTTGGATATCATCAAAATGTTTTGGAGGGTGGAGGTGTGAATGTAAAATCTAGTTTGCCATTTCAGTTCTCTTAATTCAACAGATTTCCTTGTGAAGCTCTTCTTTGGATGCTGAGCTTATCCAATCCTTTTACGGGTGTTTTTATTTATTTATTTTTTTATGATGTCTGTTTTTCTTGGTTCTTATATCACATCCTCCATGGGTTTACAATTCACTCTTGGAGTAATTTCTGGTAGACTAACTATTCTTGGCGAGGTTGTAGCACTACTTCATGAATTTTTATGGTCCAGTCAAGTCCCAAAGCCTTAGAAAAATATTTTTATAACCATTTCTAAAGTATTAGATGTCACTGCTTTTTGGGATCCATGCATCTACTGTACTCCATGTTGCGAGTCAGGTTCTATTTAATGGATGTGTTCATTCTGGCAGTAATCACAAATAAACCTGGGCAGTAAAATTGAAAAAAAAAAAAAACACAATCACAGTTATTTGTGATTTGATGTTATCTTGGTTATTTTTATCTCATTTTGAAATTTTATCATGATGAACATTATATCAGTGTCTGTAATATGAATACTATGGATTATTGCATACACTATCTTTACTCTAGAAATTAATATTGCATGCATGGAAAAACCATGGTCTCATTCGTTGATATCAACAGTCATACTTACACTGTACGGTCATTTCCGTCTCCCAATGGTTTCTGTTCCACTGCCCGGTATCTAACCTGAGTCCTCATATTGTACTCAGAAAAACATGGTTCTGCTTCCCCTCAATAAATATTTCAGTTGCTTTCAATAATTCACAATAACTACACCGGCCTTTCTACTCAGCTCGTATCAAAGGCGACTCATACTGCTGCATTCAGCCTCGCTTATTCACTGCTGTCTCTTTAATCATCAGGTGGAGGCTATTTAACATTAGTTCACCAAAAATCCGATGCTGTCTGCACTGATCCTGTTTTTGTAAGAAGAGAAGTAGGACTTAGGAAAGATTAGGGGAAAACATTTACTATATGTGCTGGTGAAAATATTTGGATTCAATAAAAATTTGAATCTGCATCTCCCAGATTTGTTCTGTAATGTCTCTTTTTTTCAGATGTTGTCTTACCATGCTACCTGCTCCAAAGTAGAAGTGGACAGACTAAAGGTAATCCTTACACATAACTCTTACAATACATTTATAAATAAAATTAAAGTACTGACAGCATAAGATCCTGCTGCTCCTTGAAGTTTCATATTGTGGTGAGGAAGTTGTGGCTGATATCATCTGTAAAAAGCTCTATCCTCTCCCCTCTGAAGGCTGCTAAGATTCCTCTGAGTAGTGAGCTGGGTATTGATGAGTTCCACTTCAATGACTTTTCACTGGACAACGATGCAATGATCACTGCATCTCTTAGGATGTTTTTGGAACTTGGTGTGGTCCAAAAGTTTAAAATTGACTATGAGGTAAGACTGCATAATCTGCGAGGTGCTTCTTTTTCTTTATAGTGTTTGTATTAAAGAATATATATACTAGTGGATATGAAATTATACTTGTTTCATTGCAGGTCTTGTGCCGTTGGCTTCTGACGGTCAGGAAGAACTATCGGACAGTGGCTTATCACAACTGGAGGCATGCCTTTAACGTGTCACAGTGCATGTTTGTCATGATCACAGTAAGACAAATCTCTTAATCTCTTAGACTTTCAAACAGGAAATAGCTTGACAAGTTCTCTTTAGAACATCGGTGTTCTTTCTTGTGCATTAAGCATAATCAAACGTAATGAAATGGCACAATGCTCTTCTCCATGTTTGCTGATCAAAATCAAGAATATCTCCCTGATACAACCAGACAGTTTAGAACAAACAGCCATAATAGGTCTGACTCTAATGCCTTAAATCATTGACCTTTATGTAGACAGCAACTTTCCAGGATGTGCTGTCAGAAGCAGAGATTCTGGCCCTGATGGTCGGCAGCTTGTGCCATGACTTGGACCACCGAGGCACAAACAATGCATTTCAAGCCAAGTGAGTTAAACAAATCTGTGTCATTATAAACAGGATGCTTTTAGTAACTAAACCACTGATCCGTTATTCCTCCAGGACTGGTTCTGCTCTTGCCCTCCTCTATGGGACATCAGCAACCCTGGAGCATCATCACTTCAACCATGCCGTCATGATTCTGCAGAGTGAGGTCAGACAGCCATGCCACTGGCGTTAGCCTGCATGATTAAGTGCCTATTTAAAATATAGATATTTACTTATTCAAAAGGATTTATTTCTTATTTTACAACTAAGTTTTTGTTTTTTACAATTGCTAAAACACATTCCTCAAAACCTTTAAGCACAAGTCAAAAACCGCATTACTGAAACCACAGACTTCTCCATAAATGCCAAACTTTCACTTAAAACCAGTTCTCATGGGGTCAAAACCAAACAATATGCTCAGTTCATACACAGAGCAATTAAAAAACAGATTTACTTCAAAGCTTTTTTTTACACACCACAAATAATAAGGAAAAGTAGCCAGTGCATTGAACTAATAGAAAGTTTTCACTGTTAAATATGAAATATCTTTTAAACAAAGGGAACATTTAACAAGGAAAAAAAATTAAAAGAAAGAAAAGCAGTTTACTGGCTGAGATTCATTCCCCAACAACTTGTCTTTGTGTAGCGTCTGACCAGAGGACATCATCCACATCACAGACATTATTTTACCTTGCCAAACAACAGGGAAAGAACCCTCTAGTGGACTGAAATCGGCCTTGACAAGAATCAGCAGTTATATCATCACAGACCTGTTTTAATGCCTTCAGTACATTTTCCTTGTATAGGGCTACTAGTCTTCCACCTCCATGCAGAGAAAAACTCAGCTTTTGCATTCAGGAGTGGCTATGGAGTAGAAGGAAAACTGAGAAAATGCTGATTGTTGGTGAACCACTTGTGTACCAGGGGAGCATGAAAGAAGGCAGGCAGGATAACAAAACCAGTGTCGAGGACGTGCACAGGAGTCAGGACCAGGAGATCAGAGATCTGAAGAGGTACCGAAGAGGAATCCAGGACGATGTCAGAAATCAGTTCCAGGTTCTGTACACAGCAGAAGTCAGAGGACAGATCAAGCAAACAGATAAGAACAGGAACAGGTAGGCTCAGAGGTCCAAAGGCAGAACTAGTCAGGATCAGGCAATCAGAAACAATCAGGTACGCTAGAGAACTCTCACCAAAGCCTCAAACATTATGTGACTGATGACTGGTTGAAGGCTTGTTAAATAGAGGCTTAAGCAGGTGGATTAGAGAAATGGAAATTAAAAACCGGGTGGAGCTAGGCAGGTGAATGAAATGAGTAATCAGGCCTGTCATCAGCGCCAATATCATGACATAAATGGTTAATGGCCAGGCCTCTCTTAAACTTACTGATGTGCATGGAGGTAACTTGGCCTTTTGTTTCAGGTGTGTTGGAGCAGGAATGCATGCAAAAGCTGAAGGACAGTGGCACTTGAGGAACAACCTACACCTACCCCTGTCTTCGGTCTTTTACTCCTGTAGAGTTGCACTCTAAGCGTGCTCTTCACACTTGTTTCAATCGAGGACTGTTGTGTTGAGCATGATTAACTGTTGAAAGAGACATACTGTTGATGCCATCAAAGTTAACACTGTCTTCAATTACCCTTTGCTGGATTTCTTCGGTCTGATAGCATTGTTTTAAAGCAACAATTAGTCTTTTATGTTGTTGGAAGAAAACAGCAGCCCTTCCCTCCTCATTTGGTCATCTTTCAATTCTACAACGGGGAAAATCATCTTGCAAATGTACTGTATACACCCAGTTGCAGTAAACCTACATGTCCATGACCTGTTCTGATGCTGACCACAGAGAATCTACTCCAATTAGGCTGGACTTTTTGTCCTGCTTCTCTCATTGTTATTCAATGGTAGAAGCAGTAAATGGCCTGTACTAATGTAGCACTTTATCAAGTCAGAGGACTTGACCAAAGCCAGAGCCAGGGCTTGAACCGACAACCCTCCGGCTGCCGGATATACTCCTTCATCCAACGCCACTGTTGCCCCATTCAATGAACAAGGACAAAGTTTACAATGGTTGCCTACGATTCATCAGCGACAGCCCCCTGTCTGCTTCTGCATCTCTTCCTTGTCTCCTTTCTCCTCATCCACCACCTGTCATTCATATTCCTCTTCCTCTCAGGATTTTTTCGGTTTTGTCTATTGTAGCTGTTTGCACATGTACAACCTGTGCTTTAGACTGGGGCTGCAACTAACGATTATTTTAAAAATCGATGAATCGGCCGATTATTTTTTCGATTAATCGATGAATCGGACAAAAAAAAAAAATTTATATTAACCTCTTTATTCCAAAATAAACATTTTAGACAGAACAAACAAGCACACAAGTACAGGTTGCTCATTAACTGTACTGGTGCAATATGAAAAATAAATGTTTGTGTAAAAACTACGCAAACTTACATGAGAAATGTAGCTGTACATCCACAAAATATAGGCTACTTTGGTTCATAAAGCGCAAAAAGAGACAGGCATTTTTGTTTTTTAAAGCCCCTAAGGGGTTCAACAATAGGTCCCCCCATTTCAAGAAATGAGTTTTTTTTAGACTAGAAGAGTTCTGCCTTTTAAGACAGGAAAGTATAGCAGTTAAAGTTGCTGCTTGAGAAAATACTGAACCATAGAGATAAAAATAGCCCTGTGATTCAAATTATAAATTGTATTTGGAATAAAAATGAGAGAAGTAGGGGTGGTAAAAAAACACATCCTCCAAAGACAGATATTTACATGGGAATGTGGCAGATAATTAATTGACATATTACTGATCTTGCTGGATTTTGTTCTGCTTTACTTCCATAAATTGCAGGATCTTCTTTTCTTTATCCTTGCCAGAAGATTTAAACTTTAAAAGCCTTGCCCTCATAATTTGCAAGTTAATTTATTTATAAAGAAAATATAAACGCTGCTTAAACAAATGTAAATGAAATTAAAAGTAAAATAAGTAGCCAACCTTATCCCTGTCTGTAACCTACTAACAAGGTAAGGAAAGCATCAGATGAGCTACCTGAGAAACTAACGTTACGTTTCCCCACTTTAAAACCAAACAAACATGGTTACTCATCCTGCTGATCAGCTCTCTTCACTGCCATCGAAGGCTCCAAAGTGTTTTCTTTTCAGGTGCTGCGTCATAACAGTGGTGCTTCCGTGCCATGTTAATTTCTTTTGAAAAAAGTTGCATGTTATCACTTTTTTCACTTTACAAAGCGCAGGCTATTTTAATTATTGTGATCAATTTGCGCCGTCAATCCCGGCGCATGCGCGCTTCATTTGCAGTCTGGACGCTGAGGGTAAACTCCTCACTAAAATCCTGCGGCACTGACTGCAGCGCTGAGAGGGATTCCTCTGGGAGAGGGAGAAAGGCGTTGGGATGGGGGAGGCGCCCCACGGCAGGCAAAAGCCGCCAGTGACACCGTAAAAAGTCGCCAGATTTGTCGCTAGTCGCTTTTTTGAAAAATAGTCGCTGGAGGGGTCTGAAAAGTCGCTGAGTTGGCAACACTGCAACTGCGGCGCTGACTCGCTCCGCCATATTTTTTTTTCTTCCCCCGGATGACGGCGGCGGCGGATGACGCATTAATCGCGTGACACAACTAATCGATGATTAAATTCGTTGCCAACGCTTTTAAAAGTCGATTTTTATCGATTTTATCGATTCGTTGTTGCAGCCCTACTTTAGACCTGATATTTGTTTGATCACACCATTAGATACATGTGTGTATCTAATTTTGAGTTGCTGTTGAAGATGACAGCCGTAAAGTGTTGTCGTTTCGTATTTTTGTACGTTTAGAATTTTGCAGCAAAACTGAATCCCAGTAGGGAATGTGTTTAGTGACTGAGAATGTCTTTAAGGTTTTGCAAATAAGAGCAAAAGGGTTTTGAAAATTGTGTATGTGAAAAATGTTTGAGATTAAGCCAAAGAGTGTACAATTAAAGAAAAATACTTTAGGGTAACTAAAAATTAGGTTTGAAGAATGGGGTTTAGTGTTTTAGCAATTGTGAAAAGCTGTAAGCAGTTGTAATAAATTCCAAAATAAATCCGACAGTACTGACTGTTCCCTGCTTATATGGTTTACAGCCATTTTAAACAAAGAGTCTTGTTAAGCACTGCACTCTGATAAAACATAAAGCCCTTGCATAATAAGTCAAACCTATGTCAGAACCTTCATTTCCACATGAAGGTTGACTGCACAATAGCTTTCCAAGCAGAGTGGAGGGACACTGAAGACATGCCGCATTTTTCTTTGGTAAAGTGTTGTACTGCAGTCTAGCTGCTTCTATAGGGTCTTAACATTTCTTTTCAGGGTGTACAATAAAATAGAAACCCAAGGCAAACCAAATCAAATGTCAGTTTGAAAGAGGAAACCTGTATATCTCAGTCTTGAATGAATCGTATCAGCAAAATTATGGGAGCCAGATTTGAGAGATAAGCAGAACCAGGTATAAAATAAAACCTGTCCTGCAGACTGTCATTTTTAAAGTAAGATTTTATTATGATTGACAAGAATACCACTGAAAGTATTAAAATAATTTAATGAAAGTGTAGGCCATAACAAAACATAACATGCCTTTATATTTCGATTTGAGAAGGTAACACAACTGGAAAATCCACACTATTCATTTCATCTACAAGCTCTCATGCATGAAGTGGGAATTAAAGTAATAGGCCGATATAAAGTATTATATTACCTGTTTTGCTTGTTTTGATGGTGAAAAATATACATTTTTTGTGTGTTTTCTCAGGATTAAAAGTAGACATAAACTAAGCAAAGACTTACTGTATACAGGGCAACTTTAAGACCCCACTGGACACATGCCTTGAGCCAGCATGCTTCCATGCCTCCACCCCATCATCCCCTTCCCCCAAAACCAAAGATCTTGGGAATAAATGGCTACAGACCTGTTGCCCTGACCTCTATGTGCTTATAAAGTCCTTTCAGCATCTTGTGGTGACCTACCTTAAATCCATCACATATCCACTTGTGGATCTGATGCAGTTTGATTACAGAACCACCAGGTATGTAAATGATGCAATAAGCATGGTTCTTCATAACATCCAGCAGCACCTGGAACATTTGCCAGAATTTTATTTGTGGAGTTCAGCTCTGCCTTTTACATCATTATCCTGGCCCTGCTGCAGGCCATGCTCTTCTTAAGAAATAGCATAACCCCACACCCCTCCATCATCATCCTATCCAATCCCCACTGCAGGCTCTTTCTGCTTCCTGGACGTTCTCTCCCTCACCAAGAAGCATTGGACTGTACTTCCCAAAACAGCTGAAGAGGTTCTGAAGAATAAATGTTGCCATCGCCATTTTTCTCTCATTTCTAATCTTCTTTCAGGTACGAACTAATTTTCCAGACGTGATGTAGGAATCAATCAGTCAAGTGTTATCCAAACTTTTTTCACTTTTTTCACCATTTTATTAGGATACATCATTAAATATTATGCAACTTCGTAATTATCAATTACAGTTTTATTCACTGATGACAGAACTATCTGTCTCTACTCCTGCACCTGGCATGTTGGACACTGGTTTAATTTGTTGTCCTTTCATCAAAAGAAAGAACAGTCAGAGAGCTCTGTGTGACATCAAACTCTTCTAATGGTAAAAAGTGCACTCTGTTCTCTTCATAACACACCACCTGTTATTACACAAAATGTGGAATGTTTGGGTCTGAGTTTGTCTGAGTTCGTCAAATTAGAGTTTCATCATTAACATTTTATGCATGTGTTGTATGGAGACTACGATGGAGGGAAGACAGATATAATCTGGGGTTGTACAGTACACGTGAGAGTTTGATTTAAAAGGAGATTTTGCAGAATGTTGTCTCATGTTGGTTGATGGAGAACTAATGTTAATCATTTAAAGCATATGATGGACCTCTTCACTCCCCCAGTAGTTTTCATTCTCTTTATTTTGACCAAATAATATTTCTTTTTATTAATATCTCATTTTATTTATCATTTTGTTTTTACTTCTATAATAGTGCCACAATGTTATTAACAGATTTCGTAATTTATTTCCCACTGCTTGGCTTTTACCGGTCCTTTTAAGTCTCAGAACCTCTGTAAACAATGTTTTACAATTATTCTTTTCCATTTTCAATGCCATTTCTGTGAATGAACAGCTTCTAAATTGTGTGAAGTCATAGACTTATATGTAATTAATGGGCCAGTAATTATGCAGATATATATTTTTCTGAATTCCAGGTCACTTATGCACAGTTGGACACTTCTTCCCTTCTGCAGAAAGCCTCATTAACAAGAGCAGTTAACAGCATTCCTGTTACCGTCCCCTACTGACACTCTCTAATCTAATCACACATTGTTGTTATTGCATATTTGTAATATCTGATAGGGCGCACTTTCTCTGCGAAATATTGCACTATTTTTCCCTACTCTCCTAATATTACCATACATATAGATTTGTTTATCCCACGCTGTATATATTTTCAAATGTCAACTATATGTATTGCAACTTATAACTAAATGCCAGGAGACAGGTCATTCTTCATTCATATTCATATTTGCCACTTTCATTAACAAAATGCCAAAAAAAAGGTGTTTTAGAGCACAAGCATACTTCCTTTTTGAAAATTGTCCATAATTCATCCCCTAAATTCGAATCCAAATTTGAAATGACATAAGTAGATATAAGTAGATAGTAGATGAAAAATGCTTTTTTAATAAAAAGACTATTTGCAGAAATTAAATGTGCAGTAAAGTGTACGGCAAACTCAGAGAGAGTGATGAAGTGGAAGGAAAAACATACTTTAAAAAAAAAACAATATATATATATATATATATATATATATAATACTACTAAATATTACAGGAGACTCAGAAGCTGTTGAAGCTGTTGCTTCCAGCTGTATATGACCCTTGGTGAGAGAAAAAACTTTACTCATATATTTGCTGATTAAAAAAGGTATATTGTGAATAGCTGAGTGTTGCTTTGTGATGGTCTGTCATAAAACATTAATTCAAACACAATGAAAGCTCTGGCTGTAGTGAGGAGAGCTGTAGAAAAAATACAACAGGTGCTGTACAGTGTGAACACAAATCAAAAGCTTTTAGCTGAAAAGGTAAGCTTGGTGCTCGCAGTGAATGTTGAAATTGGAAACAACATGAGTTGTGTGAGGGAAGATGGATTTTCCTTGCTCTGAATTTCTACAATCTTTAGACTAAAGGAAAGAGGTGTGAGAAATTGCTCTGCTCCTCAAACTGAATGAATAATTTAGATTCTGCAAGGTAGAACAGCTCCGACTCCCTGCTGAACAGATGTAATGACAGTTAGCAGTTTGATCATGGGATGTTTTATTCCAATTATATTTCCTGCCACAAGAAATAACAAAGCAGCACCAATATGAGATATGTCTGTCTCTTGGAAGTATACATCTGTTTAACAAGAAAATATATCTAAATTATACAGTGTGTAGCAACTCAAAATTAATCTATCCTAAAGTAAAGCAGATTTATTGAAACTACTGGGCATACCTGAAACCTCTATAGTGCAGTTTCTCCTAAGGAATAGTACTGTACATAAACTGCTGACAGGCAACACCAGTAACCACTGTGCTTTGTCTCAAGGCTGGATCAGTTTGATCACTAGCAGTATTCTGCATTGATTTATTTTAACCAAGGACATAGAGCCTATACGCATTGCTAATTAAATTTCTAATTTGGGCTTCTTTGACTGTGAGCGATGGTTTAACCGATGTCCAAATGTAAGTAGGGAATTTTTTTTTGGCAGTTTTACAAATCCTGCTTACAATTGCGTGTTTTCTGTTGCAGGGGCACAATATCTTTGCCAACCTCAGCTCTAAGGAGTACAGCAACATGATGCAATTATTGAAACAGGCGATTCTCTCCACAGACCTTACCTTGCACTTTGAGTAAGTGGTCTTCTCTTTTTTTTTTACAACTAAACTTCAATACCTTTTTTACAGAATGCATATGTTTTGTAGATTAGTATAATATTGTTTTATTAAAAAACTTAAAAAAAGTTTAAACATGGTATGTCATTTTATGTCCATTTTGTGCACGTGTCTCATTTATAAAGGCGCAGAACCAAGTTTTTTGAGCATGTGCTGTCAGGAGAATTCAGCTGGGCGGTGGAAGAACACAGAGAAGTCCTCAGGTTTCAGCACTTGCAATCAATAGATCTGTTGAAACTGTCAAGAGCAAAAACAAGATAAAGAAACAAAGCTTTTATATCACTGCTTAATCAACAGGTCTATGCTGATGACTGCTTGCGATCTGGGCGCTGTCACTCGTCCTTGGGAGGTATCAAAGCAGGTTTGAGCCACCCGTGCATGCAAGGATTCAAATTGAATGCATTTATAATTCCATAATTAACAGATAAATTTATAGAGTTCTCATGAGAGATCTGTGCTTTAAGGGTGAGGCAAGTCTCAGCTGTCAAAACAAGCAAAACTGCACTGCTCTGAGCCAATTAAAAGAAGAAAACAGATTATTTTTTTATTTGTTCCTCTAAGTCATAGCTAAAGCATATAAGCCTCCGTAAGCTTCTTAATAAACTCTAAGTTAGTTGGGTTTGTTGGAGAGTGCCATAGCCCAGTTATTGCTCTAATCTACTTAGCACACTAATCTGCTTACTGTTGGTCAGACACAGAGAAGTGTTGGATTCATCTGTAATCTTAAAGAGGCTTCCACCTGGGTCCTAGTGGTTTATTCCCCCTCTTTATTCTAACAACATGAGACAGAATAATTAGACTTAATCTAACAAGAGACAGTAAATATATGCTGGGGTATGCTAAAATTCAGCAAAATAAATCTCTCAGAAAGCAAAGTAGGAAACATCTATATTCACAAAAAACTTTCAAAAACTAGAGGACACAAAATTGGTTGTTATTTCTGGATTTTAATTGCATAAGTTTTCCCTTGCAACTTGCTAAGAAGCCTGAACATTTTTTCTACTGTAAACAGGAAGAGTCTTATTATTTAGGCAAGGGAATGAAGAAGTAAAGAATTTGGATTGACCCTTATTCATTACTAGGAGTGTAAATAATAATCGTTTTGTATCGATGCAACAGCCGACATCAACATGTCTGCAAGAGTAGGGACTCATGTTTTTTTTTCTTCCTTCGATCCATTTTTATCCATTTGCTCCCGGACGTGGTTCTGACTCCCGTGCTGGGTGGCGCTAAACCTATTTTGCCCTCCTACGTCGCTTTCTTTAGCCACTACTCTCTTTCCACTTGCAGTATTTTTTAATGCAAGGCCTTTCAGAATCTATAACACAGATTACTATTTTTCAGTGAATGAGGTTTTCATAGGCCTAGGTGGAGTACAACTTTGCTACTTCTGTTATTTGCTGTTTTTTCTCAAATAAAATGCATAAAGATATAACAGCTTTCATTGATTTATTTCAAATTCGAAACATTGTCTAGCCTGTGAGGTAAAACCAAAAAAAAAATTGAAGCAATTAATCTAATCGTGGTGTATTCATGAGTATCGAAAATAATCGAATCGTTGAGTCAGGAAATTGATACTGAATCGAATCACCGTGTTGGGTGTGATTTACACCCCTGTTCATTACGCCTTCCCCATTTTATAATAAAGCCTAGCCATAAATTCAAACTGGAAGGCTTACCTAGGTTTTTGCAACCAATCTCCTCATTGTGCAACTCCGCTCCAGCCTATCTGTTTTTTAGGCTCCAGATTTAAGGACAACCTTGTTGTCTTGCTAAACTGCAACCCTGCTCATCCCCTTAACACCTTCATTCCACTACCTCCCCTCATTAACCAGCCTTCAGTGTCTGGTGAAGGAATCTGGGGGGTAAGATGTTGCTAACCTAGACCTACCTGCTCATGCAGATCAAATGCATTCAGCACCAATGTCCTCTGTTGAGGTCTGTGCCAAAGGCTTATTGATTTCTTTGTATCAATAAAACTTTTCAATTATTACTTTTTTCTCTGTTTGTGCCTATCCAAGTTATAATGTATGCATAGGCAGTAAAACAGACCCTTTCAACAATACTACGATGATCATCCTTGACAGTAGAATTGTGCTGCTTTTAAACCCCTCCCATTTATTCCTACAAAAATAAATCCTGTCATTGTGGACTAAATAAATTGCTCTTGATCTTTTATGTCCATGGATCCTTTCTCTGGATGACTGTGGAAAACTGCAAATTGCATCACTATTGTAGGGTCCTTCCTGAGGCCCCGTAGGTATCGGCCAGGCTTCTACGTAGGATACGGATTCAAGTACACAAAAAACAGAAGCAAAATGAACAACATTTGAAACCTGCTGCCAGAGTCAGCAAAAGGGCAAAATAATTTTTTTAATAAAACGGAGAGACTAAATCCACCGGCCCTAAAGAAGCTGGAGCCCTTCTTTCTTAAAGTAGCTGCAGGCATTGCAAAACCATCAACATATTGTTTTTAATTATCAATTGCTAAAAATAAGTTTCAAGGAATATGTTCCGCCTCTTTTAAAATGAGGCCTGGCTAAAACCATGGTAAAGCTTCCTTGAGAGCGACTATTAATGATCAAACATGTTTCATCTAGTTTATGGATTTGTCAAAGGTGATCAAATCTATAGATCACAACATCCTGCAAAGTAGGCTTCTATAGGTTGGCTTATCTGACCAAGGTGTTGGATGGAAAATAAGTACTTGACTGGTAGAAAACAGTGTGTGAAGTTAGCATCGTCCTGATATACATCAACCAGTACTTTGGCAATAACTGGGTATTTAAAACATATGAAAACTAATGTTTAAATGAATAAGCAGACCAGCATCAACCTTTGAAAGAAAGCCCATAATAAACACTGTTCAAAGTGTATAGATTATGCATAAAATATGGGCCTCTACCATGAAACCAAGCAGTTTAAATGGGTTTTACTAATTCTACCAAGAAAAGTGATGATTTGTCAAAACAAAAACATTCCTTAAGCTTATTTCTGCATAATCCCCAACAAATTCTTAATGATGGTATATATTTTAGTCTCTCACTCCCTCAGAATAAAGAGAACACATTCATTTAAGTCTTATTACAGAAATTCAAATAATTGGAGGGAATTTCTAGTGTGGATGGAGCAATTTATTTAAATATCTGGCCAGAAAAAAAACTTTAATTTTCATTTATAAAATGTATACTTCTTCAATAGAGCAGTACTTTTTTATTGAATTGATTAAGCTTAACATAGTCTAATGTAATAATAAAATAACAAAACAAATCAATAAACAAGAAAATTCTTAAACCCATACATTTTATTACAAGCTTTAAAAATTCAGTATTTGCATAAAGTATGCAAAACAATCTTTATTAAGCAACAGTTTTAAAGCTTTAATATGCTGTGGACATTTTATTTAATATTGTATGCAAAATTATATTTTCTTCTTTTGGAAAAATTCTTATCAGCTTAGACATGTAAGGCTTTAACAGCTGTCTTTTGAAACCTTAGTGAGTTTTAATTCTTTCTTTAGAATTAAGGAAACTAGTATATTTGTATTAGAATAATGCAAAAACAAACTGCGTTAAACATTTTACTGTAAATTTACTTTTTAAATACAGACTTCAGCCAGCTTAAGCCTTCAGATGTTGCATCATGTCTGAGTAAAATAATGACTGCTTCCACTGGTGTCTGCAGGTTGCAGAGTTGGTAACAAGCGAGTTCTTTGAACAAGGCGACAGGGAGCGCTCTGAGCTGAAGCTAACCCCAGCAGTGAGTATGAAATATTTCAAAGTCTTTTCTCCACTCTGATGTTCTCAGTTAAACATATTCTGGAGAAAATGGTTGTGATGAGTGTCCTGGTTGTGGGTGACAGAAATTTGCTACTTCCCTGTAGGCCATCTTTGACCGTAATCGCAAAGATGAATTACCGGCCTTACAGCTGGAATGGATTGATGGGATCTGTAAGCCACTTTATCAGGTAGGCAATCTCAACTGAAGCTACTAATAGAGTGTGCCTTGTTATTAATACAGTATATATTCTGATGGGATTTTACATGATAGACTAGCTCATGGTAATGAATTATCTAAAAAGCTGAATGAATTAGATGCTTTTTTGTTAAAACCTTCTGAGCTTTAGCAGAGGCAGTTTTACACATCCAAAAACTGAAAGGTTTTCCCTTTCTTTGCATAACTATTTAGACTAAGCCAGGCATGATACAGTAGTTAAGTGTGTGTCAACATGATTCTTATAGAAATTTGTTTGCATTGGATTATATTTATGGGAATCAGAAATGCATGCAACTTGCATGCCTGAATCCTGTTCTTTCCTTTTCACAGTTACAATTTTACATCACAAAATCCCAATAACATACATGTAGATTTTTTCTCTGTAACCTACACAAATAAAAGGGATTATTTTAAAAACAATTAATAGCAAAAACTTATTTTTGAATTCTGTAAACAAGTTGTACTTTTTGGTGTCACTCCAAGGCGCTGCTGAAACTCAACAGGAAGTTACAGCCGATGGTGAATGGGATAGATGCCAACCGACAGAAGTGGCAGGAACTTTGCATGTCCTATCAGGAGAATAGAAGAGCCTCTACGTCCAGTCAGAGTACTGACCCGGGTCAGAACACTGAGTCAAGCGATGATGGCGAAACCAGCGAGTTTCTGAAGAAAACAGAGAAAACTTCACATGTGAAAAATACAAAGTTTGGGTCAAAATCAGAGAGCAGAGAGCTTTTAAGCCTCAGAGCTAACAAAGAGGTCTGCAATTAAACAGTGACAACAAAACATTCTCTGTAAAGAAATAAAGCAGAGAGATCACAAAACAGGTTGATTTTGTTAATGGCTTAAAATTTTCTGTAATTTTCTGACAAGCATCCCGCTAAACTGATGGGGTGAAATAAAATGCAGATTTTAATTAAATGAACCCAGTGCAGCGGCACTGTGTTAAACTCAGGAAGAATGAGCCTTACCCCAGTCGTTCATTAATCTACTTATGGGGTAATGTTCATATATATGAATGGGTTTCACCTCGGAAAAAAAAGGCTACTGAAACCAAAGAAGAAGACACAAATTGTTGTTATGTTTTTGTAGGAACTCTTTCCAGATGTAAGACCCTTTGGAATGCCTTTAATAACATCAAGGAATCACTGTGATGTGTCACACAAAGCAAACTGCACACAACGCACGCCTGGTAAAATGTATCTTTTACTGCAGCAGCATCAATTTATACTGACACATTTTAGAGTTTGACCAAAAATATTGTGAGAAACCCCCATGTAAGATATCATTCAAATTGCATATTATATTGAATTGATAAATAATTCCTTTTGAATACAATCACAGGTACTACAATTATTAATATCCTTGCCTTCAGTACGGCACCATTTCTCTCTTTATTAGAGCTATAGGTCTTTTTTTTAGGCACTTTATTTTTCTCATTTTTCTGTTAGTTTGGTCATATTACCCATGTTTCTTCTGTTCAAAAATCTCCAATATGCAGGTTGCTCGTAGTGGCCATTAGAGATTTATGATTTTTTTTCATGCATCTAACAAGGTTTCCAGAGCCTTCAGAGGGAGAAAAGAGCACAACATTAATGTCCTTTGTTTTACCCTAATCCCAGCTAGAGTGTTTTTTGGCAGAAACAAATTTTATCATGTCATCTGGCCAAAATACAAGATTTCAGTTAAAGTCCTGGTACTGTAGAAAACTCCCCATGATCACTAGAAAAGGAAAAGGGTTTCTAATTTCTATGTAAAATGTAATCTAGTAATTATTAAGAGTTACCAGTTTTTTTTTTGTTTTGTTTTTTTTAGCAGAATCACAATCTGGCAGAATGCATGTGTTTCAAAGATAAATATATAGAGTCGCATTCGGACTTCAAATTTTTATGAATTTCAAGTCTTGGTACAGATACTGTTTGGTTTACATCTGAACTTTGACCCTTCAAATGCATAGACACGCTTTGATCTGAATTATTATTTCATAACATTCTTTTCACACTTAAACGTTACCAAATTTAAAGTCAGATTTTTCTTCGCAGTGTCTGACAGCCCAAAAGGTTTGATTTATTTAAATGCTTTTCATGCAGCTTTACAAGGGTGTGTTTACAAGTATAGAGGATGCTGTAAATTCTGTCATGAATGTAGACCAGAGCATGATCATGTTCCATAATGTCATTGCTAGGCAGTCTAGCTTTAGTTAAAATATATTTGCCTGCATAATCCTTTCTTCTAGGTTGTGCATTTACAGCTTGTTTCCAGAGTCGCATGTGATAACGACGCTTGCCTTTTTGTGTAGATATTGTGTGGGTCATTGAATTAAACTGTCTAGACTGTTTGTCTGTCACGTTCAACTTTCCTTAAAACTCAAGATAGGAAAATTCAAACAATTCTGTGACTTATTTTAAGATTGTGTAAAACATTTTCAGCAATTCCTTGGAGCAAATTATATTTTCTGTTTATGCATTCATTTAAATATATTCACTTCTCTTTTCCTCTTGCTTCAGATCTCCTTACAGTTAAGTGCTACTGAGAGGCTGGTCTGAAAAACTGTCTTATTTAAGCTCATACACAGCCTCAGGCATTTCTGAGTCTCACTCTGAGGGTTATGTTCTAAATGTTTCCATGATTGTGATATAAAATAAGTCTGTTTTATTTGTACGTGCAGTATGTATTTTACTTTATTTGCAGATGCATGCTGGTCATGTTGTAACTTGCATGGTTAATGTTGACACCGGTCATTCTAATGCCTTTGATTGCCATATGAGATTTTCTTTGCACACAAGTGTACTAGAAATAAGTCTGTTCTAAAATATAGTCTCTACTCTGATGTTGTTTAGAAGATAAGCCTAAATTTCTAGTTTCAGCTGCAGGCTTTGACCAATTTATAAAAAGAGTTTTCACACCCTGGAGTCTTTATGAACAGAAAATTCATTTAAAAAAAAGATATTCAACAGGAAAAGAGCTTGATTCTTTTAAGAGAAAAGGAAGAAAAAAAGCTTTAAATCTGGTGGCTAAGACTAAAATGCCTTTAATATGAAAGTGATGGTTTGTTGTCACATTAAGTCAAAAAATGAAAAGCCTAAATGTGATGAATGTAGATTTTTTTGTTTCCGTTTAAAAGCAGGTCTCAGTAAAGTGTACATACAAATGATGATGATGCACACAGAAAAATAGAGGGATATAAACCCTCCATGTCAAGTTCTCCGAATCAGACATTAGGATCATGCCTTAACATGAAATAACATTCATGGATACAATGATATGGCTAAAGATATGTTGTTCCTGAAAAAAAGTTATTTAAAATGTATATATTTTTTTTTCATTTATTCTGCAAGTGTAGATTTCAGTCCTTGAAGGTTGACTTTGGGGTTTGGGGATTAATCAGATTGATTGTCATGTATGCAAACCCAAAAGAGCAATCTTCAGAAGGAAGTTAATTCACCCTGAACCTGAGCCATGGATGTTTTCATTATTTCTGGCATTTTTAATTTTAAAAAGAGTTTGGTCTATTCTACTATGATTGCATGGTTGAATTTGGCAAATTGAACTGCTAACAACTGCACTGTTTCCTCATATTTTCTGCAAGTAAATGCTTATTTTCTTAATGTCTCCCATTGTCATCCTCTTTATTTGTATTTTTTATCTAATTTTAACAGTCCATATTTAACCTGTCAAATAAACAAGAAATGAACAAAGTAATGCTAACTACAAAAACCATAACAAATTTATTTAAAAAGCACTTCCACACCCAAAAGGACCAAAGTGCTATACACAATCATAAAATACAAATAATCAACCCAGGAACGGCGGTCTCTTGTCCAGCTTGGTACCACCGAGGCAGCTAGAGGGGAACGCCAGAGCAGAATCTGAGCAGTAGGGATTCAGGAATCAGTCTTCAGCGCACGGAGACAAGAAGGGTGAATATTCCAGAGCACGGCGAACTGAGAGAGACAGGAGACAGAGTTAGAACTAGGAATCCAAAACATCAAACTCACAGGAGCGAAGATCTGTCGTCAGGACAGATGCCTAGGCATACCACAACAGTTGAACACTCTGGCATCCTTCAGCTGACTGCAAACTCTTTTTAAGCTCCAGGCAAAGCAGGTGAGCCGCAGGTGTGGGTCACGCCCACGTGTCAACAACAGCCCAGGGGAGGAGCTAGATGGGGGGCCATGGGGGGCATGGCCACCCTAAGCCAATCACTGGCCACCCCTACCACTTTTTCCCCTCTAATACAGACGTGGCAACACTGCAGTAGTACTCTCAAGTGGAATATTCAAGCCATTTTAATTTTAATATATTAACATTTACTTGACAACAAAGATAATGTGGTTAATTATGCACATAAATATACTGAAGTTAAAGCTAAGTACATAATTCATGCTCTTTTCAGAACTAGATTTTGTGTTATATGGTTTAAAGAGAAAAGTATGTGTCTGCAAGTCATCAAAGAGTCTTCAGTGAAATCATAGATAAATAACTATTTTGATAAAAATGATATAAATAATCAATTTATTTGGATATTTTCACTTGTAAATATCTTTTATTTGCAGAATGATTATTGATAAAAATAAGTAATGACAATGGAAAGGATATTTGCCTCAGAACCTAAACCTGAAAGCATTGTATCCACTATATATGCGTCTATTTGTTAGCAAAGGCAGTAGGAAAGGATAGGTTGTCTTCATTTAGAAAACATGGATGTTGTGCTCATTCATTTTCCTGTTGGAACGGTGTAGCTTAACCCTGAGGTTCTGGCGCCTATCCACTTATGGCCACCCCTCAATTTACACTGGATATTGAATGGCCACCCTTATAAAAATTTTCTGGCTAATCCTCTGCAACAGCCACCTGTGGAAGACAATCAGCAGAGAACGGAACACAGAATCCTGACAAGAAAACTCTCTGAGATCATATACATATACATCTGATGTTGCAGTGGTCCTTAGTGTACTGAGGGGTCTCGTGTCTACAGTATGCCTAGACACTTGCCTCATGCCTCTGACCACTGCCAAATCCTCTCTGCACCGGTCCCTAATGGTTTTCCCTGTGGTTGGTGGGCCCACTTGGGGATGGTCTCACTTCGCTCCTTCGGGCTGGGCCCGGCTGGCTGACCCGTCACCCAGAGCCTGTTTGACTTGGGAGACCCTACCAGGGGCATTTAAAACCCAGAAAACATACCTTCTGGGATCATGTGTTCACTGAAAACCCTCGCCTACATTACTTCTTCTACATTATAAAACCTCAGTTACTGCAGTTTGTAGTTGTAAAGGGACAAAATGTGGAAAATTTCAATAGGCGGTAAAATGTTTGCACAGCGCTGTTCAGTAAAGATACCGTTGAATTCCTGAGGCTTTGAGTCTCTCTAATTCCATTATTGACGTAAAGAGAATGCAGAACAAGACATCTCATGTTTATACCCTTTGTTTTTGAGAGCAGACATAAAAAGATTAATTAACAGTTTGGAAATGAAATTCTACTAACCTCCGAAAAGTCATGCTTTTGTGTAAATAAAGCATCACAGCATCCAGACCAAGAGCACATTGTGATGACAATCTTTACATTTTCACAGAGTTTCTTTCCCTACCCCATCTTTAATCTGCAGATACTGTTTGATGTTGGTTTTAATAAGAAGGAGAGGTGAGGCAACAGCAGCAGCAGAATTCAGTGCAGTTCAGTGTGCTGTGCTGCCAGCTCCTGAGCTCCAGCCAGAGCCGGTTCCTTAATCTATAATTTAGCACGGATTGAGTTTATTCTCCTCAGGGTCGATGATCAGGGGGAGAATTGGATGGAGAGAGGAGGGAGAGCCTCCCATCCTTGATACAGAGTCTGGCTTTCCCTCAGATTTTGATTTCTCTCTCTTTTTCTCTTTCTCTCTCTCTTAAAAAACGAATGAACAAATGACAATTGGATTCTAAATGGTCTGTCACCTTTCTATCTATCCTACCATTTGCACCTGTTGGTTCCACGCTGTGCTCTCTTATTTTACCACATTAGCCTTCCAAAGTTTCATAATGCTGAAAGAACAGCTGTTGGGAAGAATGTTTTCGCTTTTTATATTCCCCTCTATGTGGAAAAATCTCCCTAAAGATGCTAGGCATTCTATAGAGATTTTCAAAGCTAAGTTAAAGTAAACCTTTTCACCCTGAACCTATACATCT